GGATGATGCCTGTCATCGTATCCCAATTGCGTAGATCGATGCTCATGATTACAATCCATGGATTGTCTGGTCCAGACTCGATTATTTACAGACCGCTGTCACATAGTTGGAATATTGCTGAGTGTGGCGTTATACAACAAACAAACAAAAAACCGAGCCTGACCCCTTGACCTCTTACCACCAGCATAGGTTACAGAGAATCAGATCTAAGCAGCAATATCTTTGTGAGAGTATATATGTATTGATGAGACCTGTTTTCAGGAAGGAGAGAGAGAACATTCAAATCTTCCTGTGTTTTAAGTACACCGGGGCGGTGGGTTAGCCAAGTTATAATGTTCGCTAAGCAATTATAATTGTCACATACAGTGCAGTGAACATTAGTTAGCCAGGAAGAGCACCTAAACTGATGATGTGTACAGAACTGAGATCATCAATGATCAAAACTGATATGAAGTATCACAATATGACAAATATCACTACAGTAATTAAACAGTCATAAAATTGATATTATGGAATATCTTTAACCATTATTTTTTCTATATTCCTCACAACTGATAGAACTCATACATACCCTGAAATAAATATATCAATACAGCCCATGCAAGTCTATAATATTTGGCATGTCTAGATTACTACATATCTGAAATGAAGAGAGTCACTTGGCTCCTTTTTATCATATTTCATAAATATAATCTAACAACTATTTTTTCTATAAAATATGTTCATCTCAGAAATTCGATGTTTGTCTTTACTGGTAGCTACTTAGGTAAAAAGGGCAAATGTTGGATACAAAATATATAATAGTACCATGGAGAAAGAGGCAATCTTGCCAACCAGATCAAAGAATTCTCAGTTCAATATGCATCAACATAATAAATGCCTGAGTGCTGTTATTAATTAATTATTAATATGTCTGCTATGTCGCAGTGACCTGTAAGTTGATTGTGGCCCAGGCTGTTCAGTGGTTGATAGCATGTGCAAACACCCATACATGTACTTCCAGGAAGTATTGACACACAAGTTAGGATGCATTTTGTGACAAAACAATCAAACAAATGCTTTCCTGTAGGAAATAATGAAATAATTATTTTCATCAACAACAGTCTCACTACCAAACATTAGCTTTCCTCACCTCGTCTGTTGACCCCAAATATCTACAGATGTAGTAATTCTACGTGTACGTTTCCTGTATGTACTTTACTGAAACACACTATAAACCTTTTTGGTTGTTGTTGTTGTTTAACATGGCACTTAGCAATATTCCAGCTATGTGTGAAGATAATAATCGTGTCTCGACCAGCTATATGACGACAATAATTGAGTCTGGTCCAGACAATCCAGTGATTGACATCATGCGCATTGTCTACCACTATATACCTAATCCTATGAATCATTCATGCTTCTTGTAAATCACATCCATTGACAGTTAATATATACCAATGACTTGATAAGTTTGTAAAAAAAGATAAAATCTAAAAAAATGTAATGCCCCTCGCCACCCCACCTTCTGAGAAGTTAATGAAAACAATGGCATCAAAATAGAACATAAGGTATATGTTTGATAAGGCAATGACCATTGGACCAGTCAAATCATAAACAAGACAAAAAGTGAGCAGACTGTACCTCGACTCCAATAAGAATAATAATTTTATATTGGATATATATTGATGCCTTAACGTTTGAGACAGTTTCCTTTAAGAAGCACAGTGATATAACATAGTAATGGCATGATTCAAAGATGCACTGGTGCTTCACTGGCAAGCTTTGGTACACTTGAGATGAAAGAAGCAATATTTTCTCAGAAAATCCACATATCAAAATAAAACTTTGCACTGCACCTCTTCTATTAGTATGGAAAATGTTCCCCTCTTGGAAAAGAATCCATGCAGTGGTCGCACTGATGTTTAAGTAAAACAATTTTAAGTCAAAATAGAAAAAATAGCTGTATTAGGCCTGGGATATAAAAATCCACATTGAAAAACATTATGATGAATGTCAAAGAGAAATTGTTGCTAAGCATCATATCTACACCTATGCTGGAATCAGACTCCAGGGGTTCTGTCGCCCCTTAAAACAAATCATTCTTGACATTGTGCTACCTTCTAGTGGAACTAAGGTGGTACAACCATCATTTTGTTTAGTTCGGTAGGAAAACTTGGACTACGAGCAGTTGAGTATGGGGGCGGGAAGACGGAACAGGATCTGTGAGATACGATATAGCTTCCAGGATATGTGCAGATTCATACTTGGCAAAACATAGTCTTTTACGTGTCGCTGATTGGCTACATACGTCACAAAGGTGACAAAGGTGAACACTCCTCTGTTTTTGTAAATACAAAAGATAAGTTCCGTTTCAAACATACTACACTCCCCACAAGACTGCATGACAGGAGGGATGACTTCAACTTTCCAATAGTTAACTTACCTTCTTGTCCAGCACTATTCCAGCAGCTCCTGCCTTTGGTGTTTACCTTTCACAACTTTTGAGATACAATTGAGCCTGCTCTTTCTACCAAGATTTCAAAGAGAGTTATATGACACAGAAGTTGTTTGATCAAGGTTACAGCATTCAAGGCCTCAGTAAAGCTTTCAAAAAGGTTTATGGCAGACATGTGGAGGGCATTTCCAAATCTGACGCATCAGTGACAAAACTGATGTCCGACGCAATTCCCTATTTTGACTTCTACTATATGTTCCAATGATTTTGCAGGTGAACAATTGACTTGCCTTTGCATGTGTTTGTGATGGGTGCCATCGGTGGGGTAGGATATGCTCACCTTTTCACAAACACTTGGTATCATCACTATTTGATACTGATTCATAAACACATGCTTTTGAAATACTTGGAATTGCACAATCAACTGCTTTTTGCTGACAGAGGTTTCTTATGAATGTGGAAAGGATTTTGTTGCTTTTATTTACATGATGCTATTTAAGGCATGAAAACACCATTTTTTTTTAATGATTTGTGTGATTATTTAATAATATTTTTGAATGGATCCACTTGCCTGTGTCAACTGATATGGATGATATAGGATGAAATGAATGACTATTGAATTATGCAAATATTAACAACACATGATCAAGTCTGTAATTATGAGTAAATATTATATACTTGGTAGACACATGCACATGTTACCAAATGTTCACATGGATGACATATCAGGTTTTCTTATCAAAAGAACATACCGCATGGTTTTTTTTCATAGTTCCATTGATAGGTATCTTCAAGTGTGACAAAATAGGTTACTTTGTAGACTCTTATAAATTTAACTCTTCTGGGGTCCATTCATCATCATCATCATCATCATCATCATAGTAGATCATTTGTTAGATAATTGGATTACAAACACTAAAGTAAATTACAATTGAGGGCAAACTATAAACTTTAAAACTCTTTAAAATTATTCTTCAATTAATCTTGGGGTAGGGGCACAGCCAAGTGGATGAATCGTCAGCACATCATGCCGAAAGCCCTGGTTCCATACTCACTCACTCAATTAATTTGAAATTAGTGAATGCAGATAATTTGAATGAAAACTGAAATTCGTTTTCATGTTTCAAGCATATAGTTTGGACATGAATAGCTGAAATAAGAATCTAGTTATTTTAGTAAGAGATAAAAATTGACCTAGAATGCTTTCTTTGCACAACAAGAATGCATTATCTAAGTTTTTTTAAAAGAATAATGCATGCTTTGTCTTCCTTCTGTTTCTTGAGTCAGTGTATGCGTGATAAGTCTTACGTCACAATCTGGAATGTTTAATTGGATCAAGGTGTTTCGACTGGCACAAAGTAACAAACAGGTATGTCATTTAATTTTTAATTGGGTATTTATGATTGACAACTTGCCATTATATCTTCCTAAATTAGTTTTCATCACTGGTCAATAAATGGAGCAATTTACCCCAAAAGCTCTTAATTATTGATAAATAGAATTAAACTGAGATATTATTTTTCATAGTTTTCAAAATAATGTTAGTCATTATTGTTGATGTTGGGAGTCTATGCATATTTAAATATCTTTAAATTGAACAGCAAAAACCCCAAAAATTACTAATAAATTGGACTATTTTTCAGTGTCTGTCTTCATTTATTTCATTTTATGTTCTTATATACTGTGAAACAGTTTTACATTCTGTGACATTTATCATGTAAACCATTATATATGAAGTGTGACGTTGACATCTTTAAACTTAAAAAATACACAACCTCCACACAAATTCAACTTTTGTAAAATTAAAGTTGGATGAATAAAGTTAACAGCTTTAAGTTTAAGAAATATGACTATGCCACCTATCAAATTGGATTAGGTCTGAAATATTCACTGGATAGACCATGATGTCTGGAACATGTATATCTTGTCTGAGAGACTGTCTTGCTGTCTGCACTCAGTGATATAATGCACAATCAGGTGATTTATTGTCTACACGCAGTCTACTGTATGACAGGTTTTCTGCAGATTTTATACCTGCTTTTTCAATTATGAAAAAAACAGACTTCTTTTTGTATTATATTTTTTTGTGAAATACATAAATTCAGACACCATTTTGCTACCCTAGACGTTGAGTTCATATGTTGGCGTAAGTACAATCTTGTCTAGAAATCTACTGCATTGAGGTCACTCTTTCAGACATAACATGCTTGTATGGTTGTGTGCTTACTTGCCTCGGCGTTTCGTTATAACGTGTGAATCCATTTTACTTGTCAGTTCTCTCACGAACTGTAAATAGCTCCTTGAAATATTTATTTTTTATTTGCTTATGTTTATATTTGATAAGTTTAAAGCAAAGCAGTTATAAAGCTGGGAGTGAGTTTCGCCGTTACAATGAGGTGACCATGTTAAAGGCAGGCGACACTAGCCTATAGTGCATATAGGCCTGCATATCAACCCAGACAACCACAACTCTCTGGGTCAATACACCAACTGCCGATGGAGTAACAGGGCCAAGCTCATTCTGCAAATAGGGGGGATAGCTCCTATGATGTAATTGGTGCGTAAAAAAACCTCAAGTGCCTCTTGCTGATGTAAAAACCAGTTAGAAATTGCAGTTTTTATGTTCTCAATGGAAGATTTGTGTCTTTAAAAAGCTGATTTTGTGTGTAGTAATTGGGACACCGTTTCGGACTCTGTGGATGATTTTTGATCGGGAAATATAGGTGTATAAAGGAGGTTTTCCTCTGGTTTTTGCTATCGTCTCTTGGCTTATGTACACAGTGCCATAGGCGAAGTGGCGGAATGTTTCTATGACTCACTGTTTTTTCGGTGCGATGCAGACACGACTTGTGTTTTTACATTTGTCTGCATAGTGTTGACGTTGTGTTGCACCTCCATGCCATTCTGCGTCCATGACGACCTGCCAACTCCATCAATGATACATCTTCATATACAGTTTCCAGGTCAAGCTTTCTTTCAAGGTATATCATAACTATATATCTATGCATTAAGCTGTATCATTCAACTCTTATCAGACCATGCATTAAAGGCATGTCTCTTTAAGTGTCTTGTACTTTCATTGCTGTATAGATTTCATGTTTGCCTTTTTTGTAATTACGGATCATTCCATTTTGATTAAATAGAATTTGTAACGTATCAAATATAGGATGGGTAGTTTTGTGTGTATGAACTGTGACAGGCCTCATATCAATATACATGCCTGGGGAAAATTGAACAATAGTGTCACATTTTTAATATCAAATAATTTTATCAATTTCATAGTCTGGGATATTTGTTTAGGATGTTAAAAACATTATATTGAGTTGCACGAGTTTGTTTAAACAAGTCTGTACTAAGTACCACAGTATAACAAAGCCTGGTTATTTTCCAAGTATAGTTTTACAAAAAAGATTCATTTTAATTGTTTTCGATTATGATAATGTTTAATATGTAGATGTACATATTTGGAAACCTTTTATTAATTTTACTGTAAACAATTATTCTTTTTGTGCACTAAATCTTCAACAAAAATAAAAACAAATTAAGAATCAAAACGAATATAACATGTTTTAAGTTTTGTTTGTTTGTTTGTTTTATGTATGCAGGAGTACTCAATAAACAAATATTATAATGACAAAGAAACACTGCATCAGAACTATTTGTCTGTTTTGTAGACATGTTTGTGTATTTAATTTTAAAACAAATAACCAAAACTCATTTTACTTGGAAATGTTAGGAAACCTGAAAATAACCTGTAGTCACACATTTGTTAATGATAAAACAAAGGGCAGATAAAACCAGAAATTTTCTTTTTTCTTCAAAATTACATGTTAAATATGTCACAAATGTACTTCCTGGCTATAAAAAACACTAGCTTTAACTTTAATGTGTGTATGCATACTTGGTGGTTGTAGGGATTAAAACAAAGCATGCGTACAATTTAATATGTTACTAGAGCACATAGTAAAGAAATCACCCTCAAAGGTACAATAATCTGAACTCTAAATGTAATTTATAATGTTCTTCATGTTCAGGAGTATAGATTGCCCAGTCCCCCAATTTGCTGTGCAGAGTTGTTGTCCCTGAACTGCCAGGATCTGCTCAATGTGGGTAGAATCCCTGGTACACCCCATTATTGCTACTTGACATGTCAACAACATGATCATGCTTGTGTCAGCATCCCTAGACTTTCCTTCAAAGTGACAGCTGACCTTTTAAGAAGCTTACAATGTTCATGTTACTGCAACCATTGTCTTCATGCCATGATCCTAATGCACTGGTTGTCCTGCAACCATTGTCTTCATGCCATGATCCTAATGCACTAGTTGTACTATGACCATTGTCTTCATGCCATGATCCTAATGCACTGGTTGTACTATGACCATTGTCTTCATGCCATGATCCTAATGCACTGGTTGTCCTGCAACCATTGTCTTCATGCCATGATCCTAATGCACTGGTTGTACTATGACCATTGTCTTCATGCCATGATCCTAATGCACTGGTTGTACTATGACCATTGTCTTCATGCCATGATCCTAATGCACTGGTTGTACTATGACCATTGTCTTCATGCCATGATCCTAATGCACTGGTTGTACTATGACCATTGTCTTCATGCCATGATCCTAATGCACTGGTTGTCCTGCAACCATTGTCTTCATGCCATGATCCTAATGCACTGGTTGTACTATGACCATTGTCTTCATGCCATGATCCTAATGCACTGGTTGTACTATGACCATTGTCTTCATGCCATGTTCCTAATCCACTGGTTGTACTTTGGCCATTGTCTTCATGCCATGATCCTAATGCACTGGTTGTCCTGCAACCATTGTCTTCATGCCATGATCCTAATGCACTGGTTGTACTATGACCATTGTCTTCATGCCATGATCCTAATGCACTGGTTGTACTTTGACCATTGTCTTCATGCCATGATCCTAATGCACTGATGGTACTATGACCATTGTCTTCATGCCATGATCCTAATGCTCTGGTTGTACTTTGACCATTGTCTTCATGCCATGATCCTAATGCACTGGTTGTCCTGCAACCATTGTCTTCATGCCATGATCCTAATGCACTGGTTGTACTATGACCATTGTCTTCATGCCATGATCCTAATGCACTAGTTGTACTTTGACCATTGTCTTCATGCCATGATCCTAATGCACTGGTTGTATTATGACCATTGTCTTCATGCCATGATCCCAATGCACTGGTTGTACTTTGACCATTGTCTTCATGCCATGATCCTAATGCACTAGTTGTACTATGACCATCGTCTTCATGCCATGATCCTAATGCACTGGTTGTACTATGACCATTGTCTTCATGCCATGATCCCAATGCACTGGTTGTACTATGACCATTGTCTTCATGCCATGATCCTAATGCACTGGTTGTACTTTGACCATTGTCTTCATGCCATGATCCTAATGCACTGATGGTACTATGACCATTGTCTTCATGCCATGATCCTAATGCACTGGTTGTACTATGACCATTGTCTTCATGCCATGATCCTAATGCACTGGTTGTACTATGACCATTGTCTTCATGCCATGATCCTAATGCACTGGTTGTACTATGACCATTGTCTTCATGCCATGATCCTAATGCACTGGTTGTACTATGACCTTTGTCTTCATGCCATGATCCTAATGCACTTGTTGTACTTTGACCATTGTCTTCATGCCATGATCCTAATGCACTGGTTGTACTATGACCATTGTCTTCATGCCATGATCCTAATGCACTGGTTGTACTTTGACCATTGTCTTCATGCCATGATCCTAATGCACTAGTTGTACTATGACCATTGTCTTCATGCTATGATCCTAATGCACTGGTTGCACTATGGCCATTGTCTTCATGCCATGATTCTAATGCACTGGTTGTACTATGACCATTGTCTTCATGCCATGATCCTAATGCACTGGTTGTACTTTGACCATTGTCTTCATGCCATGATCCCAATGCACTGGTTGTACTTTGACCATTGTCTTCATAACATGATCCTAATGCACTGGTTGTACTTTGACCATTGTCTTCATGCCATGATCCTAATGCACTGGTTGTACTTGGCCCATTGTCTTCATGCCATGATCCTAATGCACTGGTTGTACTATGACCATTGTCTTCATGCCATGATCCTAATGCACTGGTTGTACTTTGACCATTGTCTTCATGCCATGATCCTAATGCACTGATGGTACTATGACCATTGTCTTCATGCCGTGATCCTAATGAACTGGTTGTACTATGACCATTGTCTTCATGCCATGTTCCTAATGCACTGGTTGTACTATGACAATTGTCTTCATGCCATGATCCTAATGCACTGGTTGTTCTATGACCATTGTCTTCATGCCATGATCCTAATACAATTGTTGTACTATGACAATTGTCTTCATGCCATGATCCTAATGCACTGGTTGTTCTATGACCATTGTCTTCATGCCATGATCCTAATACAATGGTTGTACTATGACCATTGTCTTCATGCCATGATCCTAATGCACTGGTTGTACTATGACTATTGTCTTCATGCCATGATCCTAATGCACTGGTTGTACTATGACCTTTGTCTTCATGCCATGATCCTAATGCACTAGTTGTACTATGACTATTGTCTTCATGCCATGATCCTAATGCACTGGTTGTACTTTGACCATTGTCTTCATGCCATGATCCTAATGCACTGGTTGTACTTTGACCATTGTCTTCATGCCATGATCCTAATGCACTGGTTGTACTTTGACCATTGTCTTCATGCCATGATCCTAATGCACTGGTTGTACTATGACCATTGTCTTCATGCCATGATCCTAATGCACTGGTTGTACTATGACCATTGTCTTCATGCCATGATCCTAATGCACTGGTTGTACTGCAACCATTGTCTTCATGCCATGATCCTAATGCACTGATGGTACTATGACCATTGTCTTCATGCCATGATCCTAATGCACTAGTTGTACTATGACCATTGTCTTCATGCCATGATCCTAATGCACTGGTTGTACTTTGACCATTGTCTTCATGCCATGATCCTAATGCACTGGTTGTACTATGACCATTGTCTTCATACCATGATCCTAATGCACTGGTTGTACTTTGACCATTGTCTTCATGCCATGATCCTAATGCACTGGTTGTACTATGACCATTGTCTTCATGCCATGATCCTAATGCACTGGTTGTACTATGACCATTGTCTTCATGCCATGATCCTAATGCACTGGTTGTGCTATGACCATTGTCTTCATGCCATGATCCTAATGCACTGGTTGTACTTTGACCATTGTCTTCATGCCATGATCCTAAAGCACTGATGGTACTATGACCATTGTCTTCATGCCATGATCCTAATGCACTGGTTGTATTATGACCATTGTCTTCATGCCATGTTCCTAATGCACTGGTTGTACTATGACAATTGTCTTCATGCCATGATCCTAATGCACTGGTTGTTCTATGACCATTGTCTTCATGCCATGATCCTAATACAATTGTTGTACTATGACCATTGTCTTCATGCCATGATCCTAATGCACTGGTTGTTCTATGACCATTGTCTTCATGCCATGATCCTAATACAATGGTTGTACTATGACCATTGTCTTCATGCCATGATCCTAATGCACTGGTTGTACTATGACCTTTGTCTTCATGCCATGATCCTAATGCACTAGTTGTATTATGACCATTGTCTTCATGCCATGATCCTAATGCACTGGTTGTACTTTGACCATTGTCTTCATGCCATGATCCTAATGCACTGGTTGTACTTTGACCATTGTCTTCATACCATGATCCTAATGCACTGGTTGTACTTTGACCATTGTCTTCATGCCATGATCCTAATGCACTGGTTGTACTTTGACCATTGTCTTCATGCCATGATCCTAATGCACTGGTTGTACTATGACCATTGTCTTCATGCCATGATCCTAATGCACTGGTTGTACTTTGA